GAAGAGGGGTAAAAAATAATAATAAAAATAATAATAAGTGCAGTCTTCATTTGTATCATAAAATGTAAAAATAAAAGCATCAGCTCATTTAGTTTAAAAAATGGCTTTGTTTTTTAGAGTAGCAAAATGGAATGGAAGCTGCAGAGATTTTTCCCATACACCTCCTAGCCCCATATACTCATAGCGGACCCCTGTATCAACACTCAACACCACAGCAGTATATTTGATCAAATTAATGAACCCACATTGACACATTATTACTTGGTTACATTAGGGTTTTTTCTTGGTGGCATACATTCTATAGGTTTTGACAAATGTATGACGACAGTTATCCACCATTATATATCTTAAGAATAGTTTTACTACCTTAAAAATTATTGTGTTCCACACATTCATTCTTCCTGTCTTCAAGCTCTGGAAACTATGGATCTTTTCTTTTACTGTCTCAGGAGTTTTGCCTTTTCCAGAATGTCATGTAGTTTGAATCATACAGTATGTAGTCTTTTCAGATTGGCTTCTTTCTCTTAGTAATATACATCTAAGTTTCCTCCATGTCTTTTCACGAATTTACAGCTGCTTTCTTGTTAGCGTCAAATAGCATTCCATTGTCTAGATGTACCCATCATCCATCCATTCACCTACTGAAGAACATCTTGGTTGCTTCCAAGTTTGGGCAATTATAAATAAATCTGCTATAAACCTCTGTGCACAGGTTTTTGTGTGGACCTAAGTTTTCAACTCATTTGGGCAAATTCCAAGGAGTGCAATTGCTGGATTATATGATAGACTATATTTAGTTTTATATGAATCTGTCAAACTGTTTTCTCTGGTGACCAGACCACATTGCTTTTCTTTATTCTTGTGTTGTTAAAATTTCGCCTGATTATACTCAAATGATCTGACCTGTTCAAATAGTTTTCCTGGTACTCATTGAATCTTTTGACCCGAAGACTAGTTTCTTCAGGTCAGGACATTTGCTCTGTTTCTTTAGTGACTATTTCTCCACAGCCTCTGTTTTTTGCTTCTAGAATGTTTATTATAAAAGTATGCTTGATTTCTGGACCTTTGTTTTTTTTTTTCTTCTCTTTCTTTCTCTTTTAATGCCACCCTCCCCTCAAGTTATGAGGAAGGACTCTTAAAACAGTTGTTTCTGATTTGTTTCCTAATCTAAAAGTGAATTTCCTGTTTTTACATATTTTCCATATAGTTTGACGTTTGAAATCTTATTTAGAAGATAGATGAGGGAATTTGACTGTTTCATAGTTTCTTAGATTCTAGTAATTCTGGTAATGAAGATAGAATAACTTGTCTCTTTTTTCATTGGTTTAGTCATTTTCTCTATTTGCTCACTTTATGGAGGGAGTCAATCCATGTTTGCTGGGTATTGAGCTTTAAAACAGGTTCTAGGGGAGGGAAAAGCAGGAAGACCATGAACTGGAATGGATTTCCATGCATGTATGAGTTTTTTGGGATGAATCCAACTACTATATATAACTATAAAGCTCTAATAAAAGACATGGGTTCTATAAAAGACGATATAGATCATTTCCAAGCATGTTGGTTCCAGGCAAGATGGAAAGAAAAGAAACCTGACTGCGTATGTTCTCATTTTCGGGATTGGGAGCTTTACTTGGCCATCACTGGGGGCCAGGCGCAGCAGGGTGGAGTGGGGAGCTTCTGAGTTGCTGTGTTGGGCAACTTCTTTTCAGAATATATCAGGTCAGCCCAAGGTTAACTGGAAAAGTGTCTTTCTTTTCTAACTGGCATGAGCTCCCAGGTTAGGCACCTGCTGGCCAGTGTCCCTGCTCTTCTGTGCAAACCAAAAAATGGGCTGAGCCTTGGCCAGCTTCTCTGTGAGCAATTTTCAAGGTCACTCAATTTGTTTTCTGCCTGAACCCCGCTCTCCCTTGTTCCTAGTCCTGGCTGTTTAGGGCTTTAGATAGGCCCTGCTGGGGCACACCTTCCACAACTTCCCAAATGCCCTTCCTTTATACAGCTATCAACCCGGTTCTCATGCATCATATTTTATAGAATTTTCTTTTTCCAGGCCAGTAATGCCACTCACTGATTTCCGTGTGAAATAGTATTTTCTTACTTCCAATTATTTTGCCATTTCAGTGGTAGTCTGGAATGGAAAGGAGTTAAGTGCATGGGTTCAATTTGTGATCTATCAACAAAAAATCAAGATACTAAAATTTTATAGATCTGAATACAAGAGTAATTTATTTACAGTGTCACCACTAGGTGGTGCCACCAATTAGTGAAAACAATGTGGTTGCTATTGCTGGACAACCAAAGCCACCTGCCATGGGTATGATCACAGGTTTGTGAGCTTTTCTGCAATATGTACACACGTGTGCATACGTACATGAGGACATATGAGTACAATTATCAGTGGCACAAGTTCCCACAGAGCTATGTCATTGTTATAAGACTTCACATGCAGACAAGTACATGCATAAGTTTGGGCTCCCTGGAAACTATGGGATTGAGGTAAAATAATATGAGTTTCAAAAGGCTAGCCAGGCCCCGTGACACATACCTGTGATCCTAGATAATCAGGAGGCTGAGGCAGGAGGATCACAAGTTCAAAGCCAGCCTAGATAATTTAGAAAAACACTGTAGGGGAAAGACCCTGTCCTGGGAGACAAATACAATGACATGGCCACAGGATAGCTTTTCTGAGACTGGGACTGAGACTGGGACTTCCTAGTTGAAACCTATCTAGACATTAGTCCTGCAAGTTCTGTACCTAGTCAGGCTTCCATGAAGGTTCGTCACTTCTGAAGTCTGGAGACCGCCAGATGGGAAGTGAACTTGCATCTCAGAAAACAGATGTTGTGCATATGTGTATGTATGTGGGGGTTACCCTCTTAGTTCCTGCCCAACTCTGGCTCACCCACATCACATGTCATCTTCTCATTATCTCTGGAAGGTTCCCAGTGGATCACACTCACTCTGGACAGCCCCTCACATGAATTGGGCTCTCTTGATGGCCTGCTGTATTGACTGGCCACACAGCAGGAGAATTCAGGCAGGTCCTTTCCTTTCTGTGGCCTCAATTCTTCCATCTCTCTGTGCGGGCTGGGGCTGGGTGATTCCCCAGGCGCCTTCATTGCTGATGAAATTCTTAAAGTATGCAGATTTCAGGGCCCTGCCCTCCTCCTGGTTGGGGTGGAGTGAGAGTCTCTCTGGAGAAATTCTAAAGAGGAAAGTTCCTCCTGTTTGACATTCTCCTCCTCCTCATAGCAGATTCCCTCTGTAATGTGTTCCAAGGGAAGGCAGGTGACTCCCAGGGCCCCAGAAGTCTGCAGAAGGAGTACTTAATTCCAGCATCATTAAAAGTTCAAGTGGCTTCTCCTGGGGGCCAGAGAAGCTCAGGACTCATTAAACGTGCTGCCCCCTGAGCCCAATTTGCCTGAAAGAAATGTGTAGGCTTTTCATCTACTGGGGTTTTCACTTAGGGTTTGAGGCCCTCCCTGAGAGAGAATGGCTCAGATGTAGGTCAGAGATAGAGGAGTCCAGGGAGGCATCTCTTGCCCTGGGAACTTTACAGAGGACAAACAGGCTGGGTCAGGGGAAGACCTTTGAGGTCACAGGGTGGAGTTGCTGCAGAGCTCAGTGCCAGCTTTGTGGCTTCTGTAAATATTCCTCCCGGTGGCAGGGACATGAGCACTCACTGGGGGGAACTTAGAGCTCCTTCAGCTGGGACTCTGCCTGGTGGGCCCCTGGGGATCCAGATGCAGAGCTAAGGCTTTGGGGAGGCCACTGCATGTGAGCAAAAACCCAAAAGGCCCAACAGGCCCTTAGCAGGAAAGATTATCCAGAGGGAGAATGAGCACCTATCCCTAGGCCGTGAGCAGGACAGGACCAGTGCTTGGCTGTGATGAACAGAAGGGATTCAGGACTAGGAAGGGGAGAGAGCCAGGACTGTTCATATCCTGTCCACTGTCTAAATCCTCCACTAGGCAGGGTGGCATCCATAGTTTGGCTGCATGGCAGGGAGGCTGGCCCATTGAGGCTATTGGTCTGGGAACCAGGAGGCTGGACTGGGGCCTGGCCTGTCTGGGCTCAGCAGTCTCCTTTCTGCCTCCCAGAAACCCTGGGCTGACAGCTGATTCTCTTGCTTCCCAGACTCTGATGATGAAGATCTGCCTGTAGGCCTCATGGAGTTCCTGAAGCTCACGGAGCTCGGGATAACTCACTGACTCTTAATGGTGAAGGACTTGTGGGCTGCAGGACAGGAATTCACATTCTTAGATGCAAAGTCTCCCAAGTAATTTAATCCAAATCCGACCGCAATATTATCAGTGGCAAACATGTCAGAAACTATTTAAGTTCTTTATAGGTCTTAACTCCTTTGATCCTCAGGAAACCCTAAGAGGTAAATGCTATTATTACAGCTTAGACCATTTTACAGATGAAGAAACCAAGGCACTTCAGTAATTTGAGAGCAGCTTAAGTAATTTGGGCACAATCATAGAGCTTGTGATTTGTGTGGTTCCAAAATCCTCCACCCAGTTTTGTTTGTTTGTTTGTTTGTTTGTTTTGCACTGCTGGGAGTTGAACTCAGGGGCTTATGCATGCTAGGCCAGTGTTCTACTTCTTAGCTACGTCTCCATCTCCTGCTTAGCTTGTGGTGTGGTCTTAATTTTTGTGCTATACTGTCTCCACTGGTCACTTGGCCAGGTGGCAGGAGGGGAGCAGACATTGACCTCTTACCCTTAGACTTGAGCAGCTCTCTCAAGGACACCCAGTCTGACAGCTCCTCTGTCTCCACCCAACCTCCCTGCCTGGCCTCCCCAAAGTTAACGGCTCCCTGGCCTCACCCTTGGCCGCCGGCAGCTCCAGTCCAAACAGGCCTCGCCCACATTCCCTGGCTGTTTTCCAGTCCACAAGAGCTGGGACAAAGTTCAATGACTGTGAGACTGAGCAGAGGCTGCTGAAGGGGAGGAAGCAGCTTGAAGCCACTGAGTGGAGAGGGACCATCTAGCTCCCAGATGCTCGGCCTCCTGGAGAGCAAGGCCCCTGTGGGTTGGATCATAGGTGCTGCTGTGTCTATTCTGCTGCTGCTGCTGCTACTGGCCATCTGCCTTTTCCACGAACCACAGGACCATGACATGGAGAGGAACCTTCCAGCTGGAGGAGAACGCAGAGTCAGGAGAGCCCGGCGAGCCCAGCGTTGGCTCTTCCAGGGCTGGGGCCCTCTGGGAAACATTCATCAACATCATCATCATCACCACCACCCCGGCCATGTGAATCAGGGGCCCCGTGTGGGCCTCCATCACCACAACCACCACCAGCTCCACCTCCAGCACCATCACCTGCACCACTCTCCTCACCACCTCCACCATGCCCACAGAGGCTGCCGCTGACGCCTGTGGATGGCAGTGCTCCCTGCCCTGCCCTGTCACCCAGCCCAAGGATGAGTGGACTCTGATGTCTCCATATGGAAGGATGTGTCTCTGGGTGAATGGGGGGGCACTGCTTGGGCTTCATTTACATGCTATGCTCCCCTTTACTGTGCACAGGGAACTTGAGGACCACCTGAGGTGGCCATTTAGGATTCAGGAGTAGAGAGCAGGGTTGGCTGGACACCCCATTTTGTGTCATAACAAGGGTGCCTGGTAGAGCCAGAGGGAAGGTGGAGGCAAAGTGCTCATTTGACTTTCCTTAGGCAACTGTGGGCCTCTGGCAGGCGTGTAGCTGGAGAGCCCCTGAGAATGCACTTTGGCTTGGAGGAGGCTGCAGACTCAATTCATCAGTGCCTTGTATGAAATAAAGCCACCAAGAAGCTTTTGTGCATCTCTGGATTCCAGCATGATGGTGGGGGATGGGAGGGAGCCACCAGGCCATGTCTGCCTTGCCCTGGGACCTTAGATGGGAAACTGGGGCTCAGAGGCTAGCTGGGAAGTGGGGAGGAGTGCGCCCCGCCTGAGCTCTGAGGGAAGATTCAGTGTTTTCACAAAACCCTGCCCAGACAGGACCCTGTGCACATCTGCAGGACTCTGGCCTTCTGTGGGCTGTCCAGGGTCTCAGAGAGAGAAGAGTTGAGGCTGCCTCAACTGGCCCCTTGGGCTCTACCTCCAGGACTATTTCCAGTCCATGTCCAGGGCAGACTGAGCTCTGGGGCCCACAGGCCATGTTGGATTCAGGGTTTTCTTGGTAACTGGTCAAGCTGAAGTCTCCAGCTAGCCTGTCCCCAGGTGCCTGCTATGGCAGCAGAACTGGGAGGGAGTGGCACTATTTAAACTGGGGTGCTGGGTGGCCTTAGGAGAGTGCTTGCCTCATCTGGGCCTCAGTTTCCTCTTCCTTAAAATGGGATTCCCTCTGCTAAAGCCCAGAAGCATGTACCCAAATGCTCTATGAGCAGCTGGTGGACTCCACAGAGAAGAAGGGACTCTTGTTCTGAGGACTTCATCCTGTGCCCTGGAGCTGGGGAGGAAGCGCAGGGAGAAGGCCAGCGGGGGAGGGGATGGAGAACAGGCCAGAAAGTGAGGGCCTGGTGACTCACTGGAATAGAATGTCCTCTTTCCTTCTGTTTCCCAGAGGATTCTCTGTGAGGCTGGATGAGGAGTGACAAAGTGTGAGGGAGGGAGGCAGATTCACAGTGACAGTCACATGAGAGAGTTCTGGGATGCGAAAATGGACCATAGGTCCCACGGATTGTTGATGACTCTCTGTAGGGTCTGTCCAATCCACCTCCCCTTCTCTTTCCCCCAAGCTCTGCCTTAGTCCAGGTCAGTCCCCCACCTGGCTCCTGCCACAGCCCCCTCAGGGTCTGGCCCCCTTGGGCCTGGCCCTTTTCTGCAGCTTCTCCACAGATTTTATGGATAAATCAAAGAAGGTTAAGAGTTCTCCCCCAAATCTTGGAGATGAAAAAGGGAACCTATTGGAGGCAAAAGATAACAGGACTAGGCAAATGTCCAGATTAAAAATGCAGAAACACTGACACCTACTGCAGGTGGCCTATAACTATATGTACCTGGGAAGAACAGGCAAACAAGAAGCCAAAAACAAACAAACAAAAAACAAAATCAAGCTTGAAACACAGTTCCTTATGCCCCTATCTGCCAAACTAACTAGTTGATATCGGGGATTCTATCAGAAACTGCAAGCGCCAGGGATCAATGCGTTATGTTCCCTATTCTCTGCTGTTGGTTGCCCCAGTTAAGACAAATAATCTGAGGTGTCTGGCTTCCTCTGGAAGAGGAGCCTAGAATCCAGATGGTCCAATTAACTTAGAAGATGTGCATAGGCAGTTTCCCAACGCAATACTAAAGCTCTTTTTGTCCTTAGAGAAATTGAAAAAGTTCCAGGCTGTGTGATTTTTGGGTCAGCTCCTTGCCTTCTCTGAACCTTCGTACCCTGATCCATAAATGGCAGAATCGGGTATTTATAGTACACAGAAAGAACACTGAGATGGGACTGCAGGAAAGGCCGTTTAGTGCTGTGGTTACTGCTACTAACTAGCAACAGGCCTTAAGCAGGACACTCCAGCTCTGTGACTATCAGCATCTGAAAAATGGAGGCGATGTCACTGTACATGCTCCTGTGAAGAGTCCATGAGACACTCAGAATTATTGCTTCCCACTAGTCCATTTCTCAGAATATGGGTAAGGGGCTGATGATCCAGATTCCTTTCTGGAAGTGGTGAGGTCTCAGGAGTGTTGATGTAAAATGAGGGCCGGGAGGGACTCCCTTCTGGGGAAGGAGTGGCCTAGGCCGGGCTCATTCCCTTGACCTCCAGCAGGGGGCAGAGTGGAATGGCACAGGGAGTGTGGGGGCGGGGTAAGTGCTGTCACTGAGTGGGTGGCCACTGTGGGTCCTGGGCCCTCACTCACAATTGGAGGAAGGGATTCAGGAAGTACTCACAGCTGCTCAGACATCTCGGAGCCAATTTCCAAGCAGGACCAACTCTGTAGCATCCAGGGAGCTGCGTCACTGCCCTGGGGGGCGACCACCAGGAGAGGAGGCCACAGCACAGGTACAGCCAGGGCTGGCCCTCTGGGAGCACAGGGTAAGTCTTCACAGCACCCAAGTCTGGGCTGGCAGAAAAGAGGACTGGGCAAGATGGCAGAGGAGGGTTTCTCCTGGAACCAGGGTGAGGGAGCCCTTTAGCATGTTCCCGAAGGAACAGGAGACGCCCTGTCCTGTCTGTGCTGTACTTTCTGGGCCTCATTCAGAGAAGGAGACCATCCGCCCTGGCACCTGCAGTGCCTTGTGAATGCTCCCCACCTCGCCCCGCCCCACCCCCAGCCTTGCCCAGAGCTGGCACTTGCTTTCCTGCCTACCTGTGTCCCTGCCCCCAGGCTAGGGCCAGGGATCGGGGAGGCAGCCAAGAGATGGATCCAAGAACTGGCCCAAGGTCTCTGCAGGGGAGGTGCCAGAATCCTCCTGGATCCCCTGGAGGGGGAGTATTTTGTTTTTTGCCTGAGTGTACAATCCCTCTGAAATCCACAGGCACCACCAGAAGGCCCCAGCTGGCCTGGCTCCCTTTAAGTGATGTCTTCTGCCCCTCCTCCCCACCTGGCTCCATGTCCAGGGAGTCTTGTGCCCACATCTCCTGGGAGTGCATGTCTTCTAGAAGCTGCCAGCAGAGTTGACCACAGACAGCTCTTGAAAGCCAGGCCGGAGGCATAGAAAATAGAGATCATTGGAGACCCCAGCAGCATCTGGTGACACAACCCAGAGCCTCAGACCAGTATCTTAGAAGACACGTGAGGAGCAGCCAGCTGAGCACAGAGTACCTCTGACCACCAAGAGCCCCCCGCCTGTGTTGGATGGGGAGCTGGGGCTCGGAGACCACGCATGTTGCTCAGCGTGTCAGCTGCCAGTGCAGGCCATGGAGTCAGCAGTGATTGGGGTGGTGGCGGTACTGTTTGTGTTCACAGTGGCCATCACTTGTATCCTCTGCTGCTTCAGCTATGACTCAAAGACTCAGGATCCTCAGGGAGGCCCTGGCCACAGCTTCACAGTGGCCACATTTCGCCAGGAGGCTTCTCTCTTCTCAGGTCCCCAAGCCCAGTCAATGCCGAGTACCCGGAACTTCTGGACCGTCATTTGAGGCCTTACAGTCTCTCAGGATTTGCTCTGCTAGTGGGTCAGACCCACTTGCCCCCTCAACAAGTCTTCCCTGATGTTCCTGCATCCTGTCCTTCCCCTACTGAATCCCACCAACTTTCCATCTCCTTCAATTTTGGGCTGCTACGCCTTGTTGGGAGCCAGTGGGAGTCAACTCAGAGCCCTGAGGGCTCAGCTGAGCCCTACCCTCAGGATGGGGACCCAGAAGCCATCTCAGGAGGCATGAGCAGACACCATGTGTGGTGGGCCAGCTCTGCTAATGTACAATGGCTGGAAAATATCACAACAAGGTGCCTGTAAAACTAGTGCTATTGCCACCAGAGGAAGCATCCCCAAGTGGACGTTTTGAGAAACCAATTCTTTTGTGTTCTGCTGTGGAGTATTTTTGCATACTGTGGCCAGATGCCTGAAATTAGCTCCTAAATCAAAGAGCTACTTCCTGGAACAAGTGATTTATTTTATAATGAGAATACATATCCTTTTACGGGTCTTTCCAAATCTGGTTTGGAAAACCACAGAAGAGAAAATAAGAGTCACAGAAAGTACAAGATGTTTTATTAACAGGAAAGCCAGAAAGATGGCTTTCAAACACATTCTGAACCAGACTTTACTGCTATATTCTAACAGGTCACTTCTATTCTTAGAGAATGTGAGTGACTTGCTGTCACTTAGGAATGTAGGAAAATCATGAACTGAAAGATAATTCCAAAAAAGTTAAAATGTTATGTTACATTCAGGGCATGTAACAAAGCTCCTGTTTTCATCACAAATGGATATTCAGTTTTTGTTAACAGAAAATCTGTTCTTCTGCCCACAGAATAAATGCTGTGCCACAGTTAAAAAGTCAAGTTTGAAAGGTGCAAAATTCTGAGCCTTCTCATATATCTGCTCTATCACCGAATGGGTGACTCTCCCAGGGTCTGCCTGTTCAGGGGAGCAGGACTGAGGCTGGGGGAGGGCTCTGGCTCATAATAGTGTCCAGACAGGCTGCTGTGGCCACATGAATGCCACAGGAAAGGCTGAGAGAGGCTTGGAGCCGGGAGGTGCCAAGTGATGGTGGTGGGTGGGGTGAAGGGTGCAGGCAGGGTCAGGCTGGTGGAGGGGGATGGGTGAAGGGATGGGATAGGGTGAACCCAGGGAAGAGAGAGCTCAGTCCAGAGACAAGAGCTCCTGGGACCATGTCTTAGTCCCTCTGGACACTATAGGCCTCAAGCAGGGCCTTCCTAGGTGTGTGTGGAAAGGAGCCAACTTCAGAGAGCTCTGGAGATGGAGTTGAGGCAGTTGTTGCAGGTTGTGTTCTCCGTGAGTGAACACTGAGACGGAGTCTAGGGCAAGATGTCTGTTAGGGATGAACACCTGTGTGGGGAAGGGGGCAGCAGCAGGAGAGGGTAGAGAAAAAAACTCACATCATGAGGCTGGCTCCTAATATCCCCCAGATGTATCCTAATATCTCCAGATCCTAATATTGCTGTCAGAAGGAAATCCTTCCTTGAAAGAGGACCTGGGCAATGCAGTGCCACAGGAACTTGGAAGGGTCCTCTTCCCAGAGGCACCTGGACAGGTCAGAGGTGGGTGAGCACATCCAAGCACAATAGAATATCTGGGTACAGGAGCCTCCAGTGGACAGAAATGGCTGTTCAGGGTCTCAGAGGGGAGAAGAAGTGGCCTTGTCCTCCCCTGCCCTCAAGCAGAGTCAGTTCTGTTTCAGGTAGGCACTCATTAGCTGGAGCCAGGTCCCACCTTCCAGGCTCAGGGGACTGTGTCTGTGCTGCGTACTCACAACCCTCACCCGGTCAGGCCAGGGAGGGTCTCCAGATTAGAGTGACAGGACTGTTACATAGTGGCAGGGGAGCCTGGCCTCCCTCTGCAGGGGATGGGCAGTCCGTCAAGCCTGGAGGCTCCTCGTGTTCATTTGCTCATCTATCCACTGATCTATTCCCCAGCCTGTCCATTTACCTACCTCCCCACCCATCCACTTATTCCATCTACCCACACACTCATCCATTTTCCCAGTCACCCAACCTCACGTTGGACCCCCTATCCATCTACCCTCCCAGCTATCTTCTCCTTGGGCCTTACTGCCTCACTTTCCCATTTATTCATTCATTCCATCACTCACCCACCTGTTCAGTCACTCACTCCTTCATTCCATGAACTCTGACTGAGTACTGACTGTGGCCAGGCACCGCACAGAGAAGGTGGGAGTTGATCAGGCGTGATCCAGTACTTGGTGTACTCCTGGATGAGGCAGCAGATTCGGAGAGAGCTGGGAGAACCCCGGAGAGCTGGGAGGACAATGCCCTTGGGCTGGTCTGGAAGAGAAGGGATTTCAACAAGCAGAAATTGGGGGAAGGTGTCTGTTCACAGAACATGTGGTGCAGGGAATCAGTGGCTCAGCCTGGCCAGCACAAGGAGATGAGTCTGGATCACAGCCAGCTCCTCTGGGAAGCACTTTTTGCTGCATTCGGGCAGCGTGTTTCCAGGCAATGAAGGGTAAAAGTGGCAAAGAGACAGTCTTACTTGTCAGGCTGAGCATGTACAGTGTCCAGGCACGCACAAGATCATTGCCACATGCTGCTGCTCAGGGGATGGGTGGCTTCTGCATCAGGAGCTGGAGATGAGGTCCTGGAGGACTCTGGCAAGGCCAGTCCCAAGTGGAGATGGGTCCCAGGACCAGAGGAACTGTCCCAGAAGAGCAAGGGTTGAGGAAGAGAAGGTGCTCAAGGCCACCACCCTGGGCCAGGCTGATAAAGGGAAGGACTGAGGAGGAGCAATTAGAGAAGGGACAGGAAGGTGTGGAGTGTGTGGGAGCAGAGATTCGGGAAAACAAGGTTGCCAGATTTAGCAAATAAAAAGGCAGGATATCCAGTTAAATTGGAATTTCAGATAGATGATGAATAATTATGGGTATAAATGTGTCTCATGCAATATGTAGGTCATAAGTAGAGTAAAATGTTATTCTTGTGTGAGACTCAAGCTTCCTGCTTTTTTAATCTGGCAACCCTTTGGGGAGAGAGGAGTTCTGCAAGGGTGAGTGAGCTGGGTGAAGGGAGCAGGGCGCTGAGGAGGGTGAGCGTGGAGAAGAGGTGCCTGGATCCAGCAAGAGGAGGGTTGACAAGGACCTTGGTGAGTGGAGTGAGGTGAACCACCACACAGTTGGGGGGGGTGTAATGCGAATGAGGTGTGCATGTTGTGGCATGTGATGTGTGTAGTATGTATATACGTCGAGGGTGTGATGTGTGTGGTGTGGTGTATGTGTGTGATACGTGTGTGGTGTGTGTGTGCGGAGTATGTGGAGTGCCTTTCTCCCCAGTGCAGCCCACCATGTGAGGAGAGAGAGGAGGCTCAGCACAAGGCCAGCAGGAAGCTGCCCTTCTGGGAAAGAGAGGCCTCTCCCCACCATCCTGAGGGAGGGAGGCAGCAAGGACAAGATAGGCTGTCACCAAAATACCAGCCAAGACGGTTATTTATCTGGTGGCATTGAAGGAAGCAGTTGCTCAAGGTCATGCTGGAAATCTGGGGCAGAGCCATTCTTCAACCCAGGAGCCCCAGTTTCCAAATCTAGCGTTTTCTCTCCATTCAGTCCACTGGGGCTGCCGCTTCTGTTGGTCTTCTATACAGCAGGCTCTGTGCTGCTTTCTGTATATAGTGTACCATCAGCAACCCCACCATCTCCATTTTCCCAGTGAAGGGACTGAGCCGCCACACTGTTTTCCTCCACACCTGGCGTCTGCATCAAGGAAATGCTCAGCACTGGGTCTCTTCAGGAAGAGGGGAATCCAGGGGTCTGATTGCCCCAGGGTTACCTGAGCAGAACCCCTGCTGACACCTGTCCCCATCTGTATTTCTGACTGTGCAGAACAAAAGGGTCTTTGTAACCTGCGGTTCTCATGGGCAGCCCCAAAGGCCTCCCCTAAAGATGGAACACATGCTGAGGTGAACAGACTTCAGTCCTGGGCCAGCTAAGTGGAGGTGTTCCTAAGTCTTTGCGCCTGCAGAGGTCACACTGTGCTTCTCCCCAGCAAGTCTTGCTTCCTTTCACAATGGGGTTTCCCTTTCAGCTCCACCCCTGGGTGAAGGGATGGGGGAACTGCTGGGTTCCATCCCAGCCCCCATGCACATAGGGGAAAGGGCTAGTCCTTGCCTTCCCACTCCTACTGACTTGCTGGGCCTCCATTTCTGGATTGTACAGAGGAGACGGGAATCCCGGGAATCCCGTTTTGCTGTGTCTGGAGGAGGTCTGAGCATGAAGATCCTTGAAACCCAGCTGTCGGAAGCGGTGGAGGAAGAGGCACCCCACCTTGCTCTTTCTCCTTATTCCCTGACTCTGAAACCAGCGTGTATTTCTTTCTGGGACATACTGGATTCTGGAATCAGGAAGCCTTGGAATAACATGTTTTCCGGAAAAGTGCCTTCCTTAAAGGAAATCACTTGTTCCAAGGAGTAGAAAAGGTTCATTGTGTTCCGCCAGGTCCCCATTTCAAGGACATGACACTTGGAAAGGCAGATACAGTTGGAGACACAGAGACCTTCAGCCCCAATCCACACCCCCCCCACCCAGGTGCACTGACCCAGTGCATCTGTAAGATGACATTAGAAATGGCCTAAAAACTAACAGGAGGGGACTGCCTGGCATATCCTTGGAGTCATAAAATGGAATGCTAGGGAGGCTCCAAAACAATGAGGTAAATTTAAACTCACTAACATGAAAGGTCATCATCATATATAGAAGTAAAACGTAGAGTCAACTAGAGAAGCATATATACATGGCTGTATGATGAAATTTGACTTTTGTCACAATATAATTCTATGTATTGAAGAGTATGTGGAGAGCTATAGGCCATGGTGTTGATAAGCAACTGTCTCTGGGAGGGTGGTATTGTCTGGGTGTTTTAAATGTGTCCCCTTTGCTAAAATGTAGCTCTTGGATCTTAAGTGTTCCTTCCCCAAGGGTCCATGTGTTAAAGGTTTTCTCCTCAGGATGGTGCTATTGGGAAATTGTGGAACCTTTAAGAGGTGGAGCCTAGTGGGAGGTCCTTAGGTCATTAGGAGTCTGCTCTTAAGGGGGACAGTGGGACCGCCCCTTTCCCTTCCCCTCTTTCACTTCCTGACCATGAGGTGAACAATTTTTTTTTCTTTTTTTGAGGGGAGAGGGGGTACCGGGGTTTGAACTCAGGGGCACTGACCACTGAGCCACATCCCTAGCCCTATTTTGTATTTTCTTTGGAGTCAGGGTCTCATTTGCTTAGCGCCTCACTTTTGCTGAGGCTGGCTTTGAACTCATGATCCTCCTGCCTCAGCCTCTGGAGCTGCTGGGATTACAGGTGTGTGCTTGGTGGTAGGTGAACAGTTTTGTTCCCCACTGTGCTCCCGCCATGATGTGTTGCTTCACCATGGGCCTAAAAGCAACAGCCCAACTTACCAACCTCCAAATCTGTGAGCCAAATAGGCCTTTCCTCTTAAGAGCTTGATTATCTCAGGCATTTGTTATAATGACCCCAAACAGACTAACACTCTTTTTATCTCTATTTCCCATAACAAATGGTTTCAATTTGAATAAAAATTTTAAAAAGCAAGATATTAGCAGAGAAAAAAGAACAAAAGTTATTCTTTTAAATTATAAAACAGACCAATTCCAACCTGAGATAGAAATACAACAACACAGACACAGAAACAGAAATGGGGACAAATTTTTGGGACAGATACAAAGGGGTTGACGTATTCTCTCTTTTTCTCCCTCTCTACCTAACTCCCACTGATGAGGTAGGCAAGGGGGGGATGGTTGCTAAATTCTGAGGGAACTCTGGCCCCTGGGTGTTGAGGGCAACTGGTAGAAATTCTGGGCCTG